GCAATTTCCTCTGCCTAGTAACTACTGTTACATTACCCCACAATGTCACTGTTGTTATTTAGCTGTAGATTAACGTTGTATAGTTATCACTTAACCATATGCTTTGTCCTAGTTTACAAACCTTTTTGTTGTTTTTGGTGGTTAACGTTGAGACGTTAGACAGAATTGTGCTTTTCACTGATTGGCTACATGATGTGAAAACTTCATCGACACAGCTTTACACGCACACTAACTACTTTCAACGTTTGTTTAGTGTTGGCTTTACACCTTAACTTAGATGAAGCTAGTGCAACAGTCTGGTGCACTGGCAAAAGTAATCACATTACTGTAAGACATTACTTAATTATGCAACACTGCCCAAACGGCTTGAGTGGCCTCGTGGTATCAAATTATATCAGGATTTTTAGAGATCCCGATGGTATGATTTTCAATATCGTCAAAATACAGGCACTCCTCTTTCTATTAAACGTATTGTATGTAGTGCACAGCACGTGCCACCAGAGGTCAGTCTCCGGTCTCCACTGGGAACAGACATCTGAGCTGACAGACACAGCGACTCTGAGTGATGGAGGGATAAGTGACAGGACTGTAAACAGTTTTTTACATCTCAGTGAATAAAGAATAAATTATTCTGACCGAACCAGAGGTGGGGACTGTTGGAACCGTGGATAACTGACTAACCAAGACAGTTTGGGTAAGTTTTATTTTGTGTGTTGTACGATGAGTTAATGAGGCAAATAACACAGTCTAAGTTTAGTGACCCAGAGAAATTAGAATTCAAAAGGCATATCATTGTATTTCTCTGTTTAATAAGTTTGAGACTATTATTTTTCTTAAAATTTTCTGAGTTTTTATTGTTAATTAGTCTGAAAAGGCTACAAGAGCTTGTGGAAAGAAGCAAAATCACCATTCAGGCAGGTGTTAGCACCACGGGTATGAAGGAAGAACCAAGGAAGGTATGAAGGTGTGAAAAATTAGATACCGCCCAAGCCTACTTCCCAACACTGTTAATTAGTGAGCTTTAGGTTCTGGTATGTTGATTTATCTTTAGACAGCGCCAGGCTAGCTGTTTCACCCAGATTCTAGTCTTTGTGCTAAACTAAGCTAAATGGCTTTAGCGTTGTATTGACTGTACATACACAAGGGTGATATCAATCCTCCTAACTAACTCTCCCCCAGAGAGCAAATAAATGTATTTCCAAAAAATGTCGCACATTTGCTTCAACCAGACAAAACAGGCATCTTGCCATGGTAACAGTGCCCAATATACCACAATAAGAAAGCCATAGCGTGACTTGGTGTGTGTGGATCTCCCTCTATCTTTATTCATTGTGCATTTAAGCCTGACTCAATAACAAGACTGTCTCAGAGGATAAGAACTGTGTGAGAGCTACAGTTGGTCTTTTTGCCTCTTTACCTAGAGCCAGTGCTGGTAATTAATGACAGAGAAACAAGTCCCAGAAGACATGAATTTTACATTAGGCTGTTTATATGCGCTCATGCTGTTCTGCTTCATTCGAGCCTACGTGACGTGAGCACACAGCTTGGCATGGAAAGTAAAGGGCCACGAGACCATTTCTCTTATTCGGTGCTTTGGAATATGTCTGTATTTCTGCTAAAAACTCAAGCAGTCGAGAAATTGTTGCTGAGTCTCACTGCTTTATTGACACTTGTTCTTTAAAGAGCAGTAGACAGAAAAAGCTCTGCCGGACATATCCTGTGTCTGTGCGGGGTAATTTATGAGGCCTGAAACTCAGTACTGTGGAGCAGCAGACACAGAGCTGTCACAACTAGACAGTCTGAGTCAGGGGAAGGTTGCTCACACTAAAGACACATGCATGCAGGAAGATATATGTGCAAACAGAAATACACTCAGAGCAAAAGAACACTCTAAATCCCTCTGTCGTCTACACCTACAATGTCCACTAAAACAGTTTCCTGCCATAATCTCGCCAGTGTGGATCCATGGCGAGAAGCAGAACAATTAGAGCTCTTGCAAATCTCCTGACTCCTTTACTACAGCCTCTATTTCCGTTGCCGTCACATCATGCTTCAGAGCGTGGAACACAGGCTTAGTGCATGATACATCTATAAATGTCCTCTGTCTTGACGGCTCACCTGGAGGCGTCGTTCAGGGATATAAAAGCATACCAAAGTGCAGCGAGGTGCACAGCTGGGTTTAGCCACAAAATGGCTGAGCAAATAAAAAAATAAAAAAACATCAGCTTTGATGATAGATATCTATCATGTGGCATGCAGGATATGAAATAGTGGTTTTGCTTGACATTTCAATTCAGCGCAGAGCCCACTTGTGCTCACCACTACCAGATTACGCCGGGTGGCTAAGCCTTTTGGACAAAGCCATTCATTTTATGCTTTTTTTCTTTAAGGCTTCAGATCAATGCTACCTCAAATACAAATTAATTTTCTCCTTTCCCTCCTTGTTAGTTTAAAACGCTCTCGGCAATTGCCGGCTCCTCTGATTGCTTTTTTTTTTTTTTTAATTCATTGGACTGAAATCAGTTAATGCCTTTGCACATCACAGAGAATACATTACCAGTGTCCCTCTAAGTTTTGTAACGGCCGGTGCTTTGGTGTGCTTTTTATTGGCATCCACCTCTTTGAGAGAAACCTCTGAGGAGGTGGACTCTCTAAGTATTGATCATTGCTGTTTTGTGTTTGCAATGCATTAGCAGAGCGCAGACATTTTCTTTAAACGTGTGTGAATTGTTTGGAACAATAAGCGGAACGATCAATATGGGGAAAGATCTCAGCTAATCACTTCAACCTGGGCCAAAATTAAGAAACCTGCAGTGTTACAAACACTCCACACAAGGTAAAGGAAAATGCCGACAAGTTGCTGAGGTCAATTATTCTCAGCTTTGATCACTTCGCTAAAACAGCCTTAATATAAACCCCCAATCCTGCCGACACTTTAGCACCTCTCCGGGATGAGCATTACAGCCAAGGTTGATGCATCTGACAGAAAAGGACACAGATGCTCATTGTGTTACACGAGTTCTACAAAGGAGAGAAATACACTGGGTTTGGTGTTCGAGGTAACTTCACTCTGTGGTCGATGAATCTTAATGGGCACAATTAATTTCCTTTACGCCTCAAGTGCCCCTCAGTTTCGGAGAGAGAGACATTATTTCAGCACCATTAGATTACCCTGCAGAATAGGTTGTTTAATCCAACGCCATATCATGGGCAGCAATAAATCCTAATAGCTACACAGTAAAGAAGTTAAAGGTGTAGATCTGGAAAAAAAACCCTAATAAACAAGAACCAATTATTTTCAAGTGCCATTCACAAAGCCTGGCGCGCTGCTGCTGTTGCCGCTGCTAGCTGTGGTATCTCGAGATGCCTCCTCTCTCCTTCTTGAGCTCACAACATTTCAAAAATGTTCCCATAAAACACACTTAATGATCCACAGTGACAGGCTCTGCTGCAAGGACGCATTTCTGATTGGATCTCGATAACAGGACAGCGGACGGTTACAGGTATTTAGAATAATGAGCGAAATCAACAACTATGTTCTGTTGGGTTCCTTGATTAAACGCACTGTTCTCCAAGCAAGTGGCAACACTGAGCCTATGTGGCATTTATGTTTACCGAGGCATTACAGTAGCTGAGAGAGCACATTAAACCCTTCATTGAAAATGCTCTGTGATGGCCACTTTCCTTCTCTCCCTGAGCCTCTTTTGAGACAAGGAGGGTAATTATGATAATTCAGTTGTTAATTACATTTACATACATCAGGACGTGAACAGTTGAGCAGGCAGTTTGCATGCATGGAGAACTCATTAAAGTTTGAGTATTTTTCATATCTCCTCTAACATACTCTTAATTGAGGCTTTGGTTGTTCAGCAGAACAGACGCAAACTTGAAGTTCCCCCACCCCCTCCCCGACCTCTTGGGTGTCGAGTTATCATGCTGGGGAGATTCCAGTGATCGGCAGGAAAACAAACAGACTTGTTGACAAGAGGCCAGAGTTCAGGAGCACACAGCCGCCATTGAGACATCAATGCCAACCCCCCTTCAACAGCTCAGGTCAGGAATCAGATTTCCCCCTGGCGACCCCTCCCTAATATCCAGAAGTCAAAAATCATAACTTAATCCAGACCAGTGCTCGAGGGCAACCTGAGCTTCTAACATAACCAGAGGTCGGGTCAAGATACTTGTTTCCCCACTTGGTACAGGAGACTTATGCCGGCTCTGTGGGATAAGGTGCTAGCAGTCAGATAATTAAGCCCATTATCATCTTAATGCAAGGTCCCTGTCTGATGACACGTATGTCACCTCTCCTCACTTCACAGATTAATTTAAGCCCCCCTAACCGCCTGACAAGATTCTTCACTGTAATTGATCTCTCTCTTTCCAGCTACTCTTCGGCGCTGATTCACCATGTGGTGCACACCTCACACACTTCAGCCTGGTGCTTTTAAAAATATCATGCCACAATAGGATGGCTATTATCTCCTGATCTATTGCAAAAAAATAAAAAAAATAACAAAAAAAAGGTTGATGAAGTAGCCATGGCAACACAACCTGAAATCCCGAGGTGAGGGGGAAGAGGATAACCTCCATCATACTGTGCACAAAAGTATTGCCAGCATTATATATATATATATATATATATATATATATATATATATATATTCATAATGGTTTTGGATAAGGCCTGAGATTAAGGAATTTGTTAGGGTCCAAGCTTCAGCTGGAGTGAGTGCCTCGGCTCGCCTCATGGTAATAAAGAAACGTGTGTCTGAAGAGGCGCAATCCCACCGGGAGCTATCTCTCATTCCAAGGTGAATCTGTAATTTCTGTCTGCAAATGAGCCCTTTCCCCAAGACTAACACAACCCTCTTTTCTTTATCACACCTGAACTGCATCCAAAATTAAAAGGCAGCCATCTGTGACATACCATGCTGCAAACAAAAAGCAGAACAATCACACAAAGGAGAGTGAATTAAACACAAAAATGGAGCAGCTCTCACCTTCAGCTGGATCCGGTGGCCCGAAGTCCAGGTCATAGCGCAGGATGTAAAAGTTATTCCACACGTACAGCTGGTTGTCTCTGGGGTTGTAATCCACAGCGGTGATGTACTGGTACTGGTTGGGGAAGAGGATGTCGGTGTACTCGCCCTGGTTCAGCTTGGTATTGTAGATGTAATCAATTTGGCTCCTGCTGGCCTCGCTCTCGTTCTCTTCGTAGGTCGAGCGCACCACGTGGAGCACGCCACACACCATGAAGGCATTAGAGGCAGAGCGCTTGTCATACGCTGTCTCCCATGTGGCCTCGAAGCGGAGAGTGTATGGGTTGAGCTGGCTCACCACAATGCGCCCATTGTTCTGCTCTGTGGCGTAGATGACCCATAAGCCCCTCTCGTCTACTGCCAGATCAATGTCTGTCTTGCCACCCCAGCGGTAAGGCGAGGTGTCGTGGTAGTTGGCATTATTGACAATGGCCTCGCCACTTTTGATGCGAGTGCGCAGGTCAAATTTGACAATGTTGCGAGTGCGTTCCTTGTTAAAGAAGATAGCACCATCATAGGCCACAAAGCCTGTCCCGTCAACACGGTGCGGCAGTTTATAGGTGGTCGTCTGGCGACCGTTTTTGAAGTCCTCCAAAGAGGCATACTCGATGAGGGTGTCAGTGCGGTACGGCGTCCAGGGCATGAAGAAGACTTTGTCACCGGCTTGCAGCGGGTCTTTGCACCACGACCCGGCTTGCTGCTCTGCCTCAAACAGGAAGGTGGCGTCTCCTACACCCTTCAGAGTCCCGGGACAAATGAAAACTAGTGACAGAGAAGAGAGTAGAACAAAATACGGTGAGGCAAAAAATATTGAAAACATACATAACATGTCTGACAGGCATCATTCTTGCTGCTGTACAACTCAAGTGCGGGATAAAAAGATCAGGGACTGTGAATTTGGAGGAATGTTTTAGCTAGTGCTTTTGTACTATTGCTAATGAAAAGGGAAAAAAAGAAAATAAATGAACGTGTTGGTGTTCAGAATGAGAAATGTGACTTGAACTTGCATCTCAAGGGTCTGCTGCTACATCCTAACAGGGACAAAACAAAACAAAACGTGAACGAAAAGGGTAAAAATCCTGCAAATGAAAGACATGAAAAATGGGAGAAGTAGAGTTCACACTTTCCTCTTTTAAATACCAGCCTGTCGCTGACGTCAAATGCCACATGAACAGCTGGGTGTATGGACACACTGCACATGCATACTGACATGACTGAGGTCGTAAACCAAAACGAAAAAAGGGGACAGACTTCACATCTTGTGATAAGAGTGAACAACAGGTTGTCGATGGTGGTGGCGGCAGCAAAGCAGAGGTAAAATGAAAGTGGAGGTTGGGGGATAAATCGAACAACAGTGGTAAAGGATTTTCACTACTTCTGCGGCAGAAGACAAGAGTAACCACTGATGGGTGAGGGAGGCCATGGCAAGGTTCCCATTTAGACGGTTTTAAATTAATTGGTTCTGGATAAAAGGGACACAAGTGAATTCTTGTTCTCCTTTTAAAGTTTTTTTTTTTTATTTGGTCAGTGCCAATCTCACTCAGCCATCACTGCTATTTCACATCACGTGCTATGGGTGCAGCAGAAGTTGGGCCAAGCAAACTAAGACTATGCCAAATAAGAATATATACACACTCATTCTTCAAGGGTTAACACAGTGCTAGGCAAGAGTCCCTGGAACAAATCGACACCCAACAGTTGGTGTTTTTATTTCACGTTGCAAGAAAAAAACTACATTCGATGACCGTGGATGTCATTTCGAAATTCTGTTTTTGAAATTCATTTGGACTCCATGGGTGCAAACAATCCTCCTATGGGTTTAGCATTTGACAGGAGAGGCAATCAGGAGGGGGAGGAGACGTGAGGGGAGCTGTACTCAACACCACAGAACAAGGAGCCAGAGGGGGGGTGGGGGGAGGACCAGACCACTCATTTACCTTTTTGCTCCACTTCTATTTCAGGCATTGGAAAAGAAAGCAAAAAAGAGTGCAAAAGGGAGAGAAAGGTTATCATGAGTCAACTACCAGGTACAAAGAGAAGAATTAGCTGGAGGATATGACCATGAGATGAACTGCAGGGCTGCTTTGGGAAGAAGAAGAGCTACGGGGGATGAAAAAAAAGTGTTTGTTAGTGAAACGGCCTCTCATCCTAGGATATAAAAACAGACAAGTTATGGCTGGAGACAAGCTATATGCCATGCTTTCCAGCGCATTAAACTTTTCATTCCTACCGTCTTTAACTGCCAACAAAATAATGCATTGGCCGACGTAAAAGCAGAATAAATCCCTCTAAAAAACGTCTCTCCTAAGTGGCAGGAGGAAAAAAAAATCTCCTGGTCATATTTAGATGGATAACATTCTTAGAGAAACATCACAGCAGTTATTTTTGGCATGTATTGACTGAGGGTGGAATTTGTTCAAACTTTATAAACACAAATCAAAACTCGATTCCAAACTCGCTCGCCCACACACGTAAAACATGACACGGTGCTAATGTTACAGACCAAACTCTTAAATGAGCCAAAGAGAGCAACAGCACATGAGATGACTGATGAACAGTCTGCCTAATATGGAGCTGCTTTAGTTGAGGCTGCATACACTCTGGGTGGAGGTGGTGGGGGGGGCAGAGGCTTGAGACAACATGTGAAAGATTAGAAGTTAAAAAAAATGAGAGCAAAGAGGTTAGTCGGGGAGGGAACGGGACAGGAGGTGAAAGGGAGGTCTGTTTGAAAGAAGAGAAAAAGAGGTGAATATTTCGGAAGATGTTTACAATTCATCAATTTAAATACTAAGTACTTTTCACAGGCAGGGATGAAGCCTAAAGCTGCTCTTATAAACTATGCTAAAACACCCTTTTAAGGTAGATTAACTCAAATCAGATACCATAGACAGTTTAAAATAGCGCCGACTTTAAGCACCTCTACAGTACATTTAATTAAATCATGTTCACAGCGAAACACTAAAGCTGATCCATGACTGAAGAAAGGAATTTGGTTAAACTTTTAGGATTTTATTGGTCTTACTCCAGAAGTCTCTGCAGTATGTGTCCACAGAGCACTAATGAACATAATGTAGTAATGTAAGATATATAATGTACCCTGTTCTTTGTAATCTCTCCTTTATTATCTTAGCAGAAGACAAATCTTAAGGCTCTGTTATTATTAAAGGCCCTGACACACCAAACCAACAGTTGGCTGTCGGTCAGTTTCGGGTGAGCATCTGTCGCCCTAGCGTGTGTGTCCTGCACCATTAGCACTTGTCGACCCCTGTCAGCTTTTTTTCCAGCAGGTTCAGCATGTTGAATTGGTGTCAAACCTGCCGGAGCCCATCGTTACATGAAGTTACTCTGACTGGCAGTTCAGCTCAGCGCATGAAAAGAGAAACGGAGGTGAGGAAAGCAAACGCTAAAGTCAAGAGGGTGTGAGATCCAAACAAACTTGTTGTATTTGGTAAGATAACTTTTTTTTCGTTATTGTTTGCGTGGTCAATATCCATTCTGTCGTTCTTCCCATTTCCCTTTTTAATGACCAACTAGTCCATACCCATTGGTAGCTTTGTCACCTTCTACCTATGCCAATCCTCAAAGCCTATGTGCAGTTTCACATAGATTGACCACGTCAGTGAGTAGAAAAACGTGGGACAGACAGAATGACACACTGACAGTTTCCGTGATTATGTACAGCATACCATGCCATGACTTAGTCATACCAAAAATTAGAAAAAAACAAACAACCATTGGTCCACAGGGGGAGCCACAGCGATCGGTCACATTTTAGCCATTTTGAAGCATTTTTCTGTTGTTATAGCGCCACCCAGTTGCCAATTAGAGTGAAATTTCTCCAGTCACCTTGAGGCGTCCTGTTCTACATATCTACCAAGTTTAGTAAAAATCAATATGGCAGTTAGGCCTAGATAAGAAATGAGCTCTCTAGCGCCCCCATTTTGTTTGATGGGGTCAATAATGGAGGGGTCCCCTCAGATTATGTGTGGTCATATGCCTACAAAGTTGCGTGGTGATGGGTGAAACCCTTGAGATGTTATACACCTTTATGTGATGAGCCACTCCCTCCGCAATATTCATTGCCTTATAGAAGCTCAGTTTTAGTAAGTTTTCCAACTTTTGCCAAGAGGGAACTTTAGATATTGGTCCCTAGATTATGTTCACCCAGTTTCATGCAGATCGATCAAACTTCCTAGGAAGAGATCCATTTGAAGTGTTTTTCAAAAAATTCAAAATGGCGGAAAATTTACATAACCGGAAGTTATGAGTTCTTGAGGCAAATTTGTTCCTCATGAGGAGAGGCATCTCTGTGCAAAGTTTCATGTCTCTACGACATACGGGGCATGAGATATGTCCATTCAAAGTTTGCAATTTCAATCGGTTGCTATAGCGCCCCACTTTGGCCAATTGATGTAATATTGCTTCATTCGCATCCTCCCATGACCCTCTACCACTGTGCCAAATTTCACATGGATTGACCAAGTCAGTGAGGAGAAAAACGTGGAACAGACACACACATCATCATATCATCATTGTCGTCATTATAGATACAGACTACCACACATGTAGGTGCAGAACATATATGCTAGCTGGCTGCTGGCTGTAGTCTTTGCGGTGTGTTCACATGCTACTTTGTTGGCCGAGACACCGGCAATGTGAGGTGACACAACAGTCAGCCTTTTGTGCCACTGGTTATTTGATGTCAGTTTGGTGTGCCTGGGCCTTAAAGGGTCAATTCACCCAAATTACAAGAAAACATTTGTTCTCAGTTACCCTTAGTGGTATCTAGTCATGCAGATAGTTTTGGTTGTGGTCGTCCAGGTCTGCCTCTGAAAGTTCTTCCACCATTAAAATACAATACAGATGAATAGAATTTTTGTTTGTGCTGCTCACAGCAGTGACAAAATATTTATATAGGAGCTGGTTCTTGTGTGGAAAGTTGCTCCAATCAAAATATTTCACAGAGAGTCCTGTGGATTATCCACAGTAACAGGGACACTTTGTGAGGAAGATTTTGCTGTTCAGATTTTTTAAAATGTCATTACTCAATGCTGTGAGCATGACAAAATACACACCACACATTCCAGTTATTTCAGTTGTGCTGGGGTGGAAGCAGAAATCTCACATCTCGCACAAAACATTTTATTGCATCCAAATCTAGCAGTAAATGTGCTTATCGTATTTAAATTCTTTCTAATCCCTTCTTGTGTCTGACTATGTTTGACTTTCAACAGTTTTAAGTAACTACTGTTATGTATAACTTGGAGTCAGAGATTCCATTTATATCTTTTAATCACTTACATTAAAACACTGCAGTTTTATTGCACTAACAGGCGTATCCTACTTGATTTTATATCTTATCTTTCACGAGCTACTTGCCATAAAAACTGGAGATCCTGTCACGTAACTACTTGGTCAATGGGCTTAAACTATTAATATGTATAGAAGTTGGCCTTGCCTTGAATTACAAAGACAACCCAGTCGACTCGTGGTCATAGGATAATGTTATTCTTTCCTGTCACTAACAATCTTTGGATCAGTTCAGATACTGGCTTTACAAATCACAGTCACCAGACAACAACCAGGAGTTGTTATGCAGTTTCATTTAAGACATTACAGGAATTAACATTAATTAACACAAATACCAACGTCTTTAAAAGTGTAAGCACACAAGTATTTTGCTTATCTTTATAAAGTAAATGACTGCACAATGTAATTGCTGTAGAGTAATGACACCATCGCCATTTAGATTGGTTCCCTATAAGGCTTGATTTATGGCACTAAAGAAGTGCAACAACCATTGTGCAACCAAAACATAAAGAGGATAACGCTTTAGTTGCTTTAACTATCAGTATCCATCCCCAGTTACCAGAGAGCATCAATGAAAGTTCAGTTGCAGTTACTATTTCCAGTTGCGGAGATGGCGGACGATGGAACAACCAGAGTAATTGTGGAAACTGTAGTAGCGTCAGGCTCTGAGGAAAACGAAAGGTAATCCAGTTGTCTTTGCCACAGTGGCACCAACAACAATACCACTTGGAAATGCTACTGGGAAAGAAGTTGTCTGTTTTCACTAGAGTTGTACCGATACCGATACCAGTATCGGAAATGCCTCCGATACTGCCTAAAATGTGGTATCGGGTATCGGCGAGTACAGCCTATGACCAGTCCAATACCACGTAATGCCTCGCGTCATTATGCATACGCACGCTACAGGCAAACGAAACGGAAACGGAGCAGAGTTTAAGAAGCATTCTACTGTAGCCTTTAAAATGTCTCAACAATTTATATCCCATCCATTTTTTTTTTACGTGCTGGTATCGGATCAGTACTCGTTATCGGCAGATACCTAAGGTTCAGGGATCGGAATCGGTATCTGGAAGGAAAAAGTGGTATTGGTACATCTCTAGTTGTCACTTAAATGAATCCGTGTATTTTGCCAACGGGGAACCAGATCCAAAAATGGAAGCAACTACCCAATTCCAACCTCGAAAGACAAATGTCTAAAAACCTGCACTAATTAAACCAAAATCTGCACAACTGGATTCCACTAAAAATGATTGAGATTTTTTTTGTTGTTTCCACACTTAAATACTTTACTTATCCTTATCAAAGCTAGCCTTCCAGTTTCCAGTGGAAGTACCATCTGTAAAACAAACTTGGAACTCAAGAGAGAGACTGCAGTTACAGCACAACTGTCTACTCTACACACACTTTAAAAAAAAATACACACACACACAATAAGAGTTCAGTATGAGATTTGGATGGCGATACTTACTATAGGGAACACACTCATACTGGACCTCTAAGTACTTGTAGGTGCCAGGGCATGGATCAGGAAAGACATCAGAGCCAGTGACAACCACACACTGCGTACGGTTGTTGCACCTAGAAAAAAAGAAGATTGACCAGAGATTTCATCATGACTTCTCACAGCAAGAGTACTCGGCAAAGACAACATTAATAACACAAAGTGGGGGGGTGAAAGTTCATCGTTACGCGGCTAAAAAGAAATTGATGAAATCCAAGCCAGGACTGTCACATATGCATTCTAACTATAGACCTTGGCAAACAGAGAGAGGAATGAAGGCATTAAGGGAGTGTAAATGACTGTATGAATGAATGTGATAATGAAAAGAGAGTAAGAAAGCAGCTAAGGCATGTTGGGAATTAGCGATGGTATTTCCTTTAAAAAAAAGGGAAGACATTCATTAAATCACACACAGGGGACAGGTGGCGGTGACATGCGAGTGGACAGGAATGGCGAGCTCTGGTGAAACGGAGCCACTCCTCTGCATGTACGAGACAAACATGATGTGAATGTGCCATTTTGATGAGAGGTTATTTGCCCTCCAGTTAGGGCTGGGCAATATATCAAAGTTAGAATGTTATATGAGTCTAGATAGCATCTAAGATTTTGGATTTCCTATTGTGAGTGTTGTCTTTTCCTGGTTTTAAAGGTTGCATTACAGTACAGTGATGGAATTTTCTGAACTTACCAGACTCAGGGTTCCCACACGTTTTTAACAGTGAATTTTACATGCTATTTTAGCACATTTCCTTGACGTTACTGAAGCAGTTTAAAATGGGTGGGCCTTATGCAGCGATACAGCCATAGATAATTAAATATGCATCTCCCAGACATTTGTGGATCAGCAAACTGCTAGCATTGCTTACTTTACTTGCTCAAAAGACATTCCTGCTACCAACTAGCTGTATATGCCAAAACACCAGACCGGCATATACGGTCACTTTGCAAAATGTCAGTGTTGCTGTTCTGGAGATAGAAAACCACAGAATCTGTAGATGTCAATGCAGTTTGATGATTACAATTTTGACAAGTTTGTATGAATTTATTTCTTGTTTGTTTTATTGACATGTCTAATCCTTATTTTGTGACGATGCCTCAACCTGAGCGTATGCTATACCTTAATATGTGATGGTTGATCGCCATCATATCCTTTTCAGTTTATTATCTGGACATCTATAAATGTCTAGATATCCGGATCACAATGCCTAGTGATTCAATCCCATATGTATGTTTTATTGAATCCCCAGGTATTGTTAGGCTGAAGCCCCGTTTCCACCGAACACTTTTGGTATGGTACCTTTGGAGCCAAGAGTAACCCTTCAGACATGGTACCTAGACACTAGCATTTCCACCGCAAACAGTTCCTTTAAATGTGGGCGGGGTTGTTGTCACTCACTGCTCCGTCCAGCATTCACTGTATTTCCTCATTACCAGTGACAAGAGGGAAGTCTGCACTTCATTTATCGTCCACAGAACGAGGCTGCATGCTGACATTTCCAGAACAAAATAAAACAGGCTGCAGTGAGAGTCTCTCTCCATGGGATATTTAAAAATAGCGGGTTTGTGCATTTAGTCCTTCTCAGACAAGCTCGGGGGTTTAGTGTTGCTGTAGCCCACAGGAACGACGCTCCACAACGCTTCTTTTTTCTCCGAGAGAGGATTAGAATATATGCAGCTCACATAACCCAGACGAAATTAATATATATTAACACTTGAAGATCCACTCTTTACTAAAAGTGTACGTCATATAAAAACTAAAGTGATGGTCAAAGTTGTCACGGTGAAACTTAAGGTGTGCTGATGGATTCACATCGTCATCTCATGTATAGAGTAACAACCTTAAAAGTTGTCGGCAGGCGGCCCAGTGAATTTAGTTTTTAGTTTGCTGCTGCAAGAGGCAGCAAAGCATCCTTTCATTTTACAGTTACAATCTACTAATAAAACTCTCCACGGTATGAACAGTGGTTACATGAGCCTAAAAACCAGTCACAACTCAGCCCTGAGCAGAGTGACCGTCCTCTACTGACCAATCAGACTGCAATGTTCACAGCTCCAACTGTTAGTACCAGATCTGTGTGCTAGGTACCCCAACAGAGGGGGGACCAAAATGGGGACGGTACAGAACGGCTCCATTGGTACCATCCACAACTTTACACAGTGGATACGGGGCCTAAGTGTCACCTGTAAATAACAAACCTGTTAATACCCAACTATTTAATCTATAGGCTGAGATGTTGGAGACAGTGTGATGCTGCTGAACTGTATAACTGTACTCCAGCAGCCTTCCACTCAAGTCATCATTAGCTATCCATCAGTGGTAACTGTCACCAGCATCATTTAGTGATTTACTTGCGTGACAGTGAATATTCAGTGTATTAAATGCCTCACATCTCAGTGTGAAAGCCTTGGTTAACTGGCCACACAACAGCTTTTCGACATCTTCCAGTTTCTCCCCTTATGCAACAGAGAGTTTCTTTCCCCCAAAAGGGGACGCGGCCTTGACGATGATGCAATGCCGGTCTGGTCTTTGTGCATCACGTAACACTAGTGACATTCAACAGCAGCACTAGATTTTAAATTAGTAACAAGGAACGTATGGAAAGAGTTTTTTCTGATTTCGTAGCTATTCGTGGGAACCCTGCAGACTGTTCCAGCTGTTCTATTATTTGTCTTTAACCACTTAGTCATTATATCCATTTTAATGATGATTACTTAACAAAATTTTCATCTTGCAAATATTTTGTGAAAGCACCAATGGTCAACTCTACAATACTGTCACAATCTCAAGGTGCTGGGTCAAAAATATTGTTATATTTGAACTGCTCCGTATCGCCCAGCCCTACCTCCAGTATGAAATAATGTCCCTCAGTGGGTTAACAGTCTGATGTGTGAACTGCAAAGTTTGTGTGTGTTTGCAGATGTTTCTGGGTGCTACAAAAGTTCAAGTATAGAGGGAGAGGGGGGAAAAAAGAGAACAGCAGATGACTGAGTTTGTGTAAATACTGTATATGGTGAAATTGGCTCCACTTCAATCAAGTTCTCTTGAGGCCGAGGGATTGAGAATAATGTCAGCAGTAACAGAGGCAAACAAGAAGAAATTGGCACCAATATAGGACATTCAACAATTTGCAAGCCTGAGATAAATATTTCAGAAGGTCAGTGGCAGTCATGCAAGTTGGACATACATTTCAACATTGGACATGACTTTCAGAGCATCGTTAGTAATTCAAGAGGCTTTCTGTTGCTGCAAAATGGGACTGTGCTGCGCAGCAACCACACAAAGCCTTGACTCTGCACTTTCGGCTATGCGGGATGTTAAAGTCATGAATAAAAAGGTAAATGTATGTACATTAACCAGAAAGAGACTCTGCTTTTCAATCTGCACTTTAAATCCAGCTATGCATTTTCATAACAAAAGCCTTCCCTTTGAAACTAATGGATTATTAAACATTACATATGAATAAAAAGGCGCAAAGTCCATTATGAAGTTAACAAATAGCATCAGCTCAAACATCACTGACCGTACGGTGCCAGCTGCACTTAAGAGATTCACTTTTATGGCTCCACTGCAGTGAGAGCTGCCGAGAGGGACAGGGGTCACTGCATCCAAATGTGAGCTGACTGACGGCAGACGAGCGCTATAGAATCACTCCAAATATACCCAGAGATAGTCGATTTAATTCAGGGGTTTATAAGTCTGACTGACACCAGCTCTGAATAGCAGTACTTTCACTCAAGCACTCAACTTGTGTACAATTTTGAGATATTTGTCATTTACTTGTGAATTTCATTTTATGCTACTTTCTGCTTTTACTCCATTTCATTTCAGAGGAAAATGATGTTCTCTAGCCCACTGCATTTAAGTGCCAGGTATTGTAACTCTGCTGGTTACGATTTAACATACAAAACACATGATGAGCTAATTTAACATAATATATTTTATGCTTTATCATAAAAAATATGTATATTGAATAATATTTGCTCCACTTCCACTGCCTACAGCACTGAAATGTCACTTACATGCCGGTGCATCAGTGATAATAATCCAATGACAAAATTCATGTAATAATATAGACTTTGAAAGGAGCCATTCAGCATCATGGTGGTTTTCAGGTTTTGCACTGCTTGTACGTACAACAAGCAATGCATCACAATTTGTATATAAACCCAACCACAATAAACCACGTAATCAGGAAGGCTGCAATCACATAACCAATACGCTGATGGGAATAAAGAAGGAAGTCTGATAAAGAGCGAAAGTTCAAGAAAGGAAGCAGGTTAGGTTGGTGGATGTGGATGCAGATGGTGAATCAGGACAGTGTGAAACCAAGTTATTTTCATGTACGTTCTCATGTTTGTTTTCCCCCTGAACTTAACCTATGTCATTTTACTTTCCAAAACTTCATCTATGTGATTTTGCGTTAAGTATGTACCATCATTCGTTAAGTATGTAACATCATTCACTTACGAACCGTTTTTCGGGGATAGGATGTTGTTTTAATTTTTGATACTACTGTACACTGTTAGCTCTGCCAAGGAGGTTATGTTTTCGCCGGCGTTTGTCTGTTTGTCTGCAAAATAACACAAAAAGTTCTGAACAGATTTTGATGAAATTTTCAGGAAAGGTTGATAAAATTTGGTGATCGGTTCAAGCGAAGTGGATAAAATAATAAAATGGCGGGAAATCCGAGCTGCTTGGTGCTTGAGTGCTTTTCTAGTTAATACTTCAGTCTTTTTACTTAAGTAAATCTTTTAATTCAGGGTTTTTACTAGTAATGGAGTACTTTTTTTCTTGCTGTTTTAACTTAAACACACAATTTTGCTGTAACTACAAACACAACATTGACATATTCAGATAATATGGCTAATGTATTGTAATGTGTATGTAAACAATTACCTACTTACATAGCCAGAAGATATGGAGCAACCTTAGCATTCATTTTGAGTTGTGTTTTTACTGATGAATTTAAGTCCAATATTCACATTGCTTTTTGCTCTCTTTTGGTCTCCACCACAAAGAAAAACGTCTGGCTCCTCAGCCGCTAAATGTTCCGCTATGTTCACCAGCTGGTAAACTCTGTCTGATGTCGCTGGACTGGTGCAGAGCAGGTAACGCACAGTCAGTTTATCAGAGCTCTCTCACTAAAACAGACACCTGCTTTAGCTGAGTCTAATGAGAGCTGTGAAACTGAACCAAAACATTAAAGTTGCAAGACAGAAAACCAAAATAATGAGGTGGAGGATGTTAAAGCTGAGGGGAACTGCAGATAAGAGTGACTAAATGACTCTCTGTGTGTCTGTCATTACAGATGACACACATGCATATTAGACGAGGTTATTTGATCCATTGTTAATATAAAAATGGAAGCACATTCAAAGGGAGAGTGCACGCCAAAATCAAAAATACATTTTTGTCCTTTTACCTGTGGTGCTTTTTATCAATCTGGATTGTTTTGCAGAGTGTTGGTGATATAATCCGTAGGGATGTCTAACTACTCTTGAATATAATGAAACTAGAAAAGCGCCAAAAAATCAAAATTTGAAAAACTCAACATCGATGTCTCTCTCCAGAAATCATGACCCAGTTACTCAAGATAATCCACAGACCTTGTTGTGAGCAGTTTCATGTAGGAACTATTTTCTTTCTCCCGAACTACACCCACCAACCGTATCACTGTGCAGACTAAAGCATGTCTCTATTGCTAACTCAGCTAGCACCACTGAGCTCGCTAACGTTACAGCTCAGTCAGGGAGGACGCCATTAATGTTTACATCTCACGCTGTCATGAGCACGAGCCTCTTCCATGAGTGAATCCATGTATCTTTCTGCTGGCGGGAGTAGTTAGGTGAAAAAAATAGTTCCTACATAAAACTGCTTGCAACAATGTCTGGGGATTATTTGCAGTAACCAACGATTTCTTGAAAGAAACACTGTAATTGTATTCTTAAGTGTTTTTCCTGGCACTTTGAGCACCACACGCCAAGCGCTATCTAGTTCCATTATATTGGAGAGAAGGCAGACATCTCTACTGCCGATATCTCCAACACTGAACAACTCACACTAAAACAATCTAGACTGATAAACAGCACTACAGGTCAGGAGAAAAATATGTATTTGTGATTTTGGGGTGAACTGTCCCTTTAAGTAAAAAATTGTAATACTTCTTCCACCACTGCTAATTTCTTTCCCATTATAGGAATTCACTCTAGCATTTCTTGGACTGCAATTTTTAGATCCTTTGGAAAAAAGGGGGGGTTTGTTGCTAAGTATTTAGACACGCTTCCTGTTTTAAACTGCCGCTGAAATCGCTGCATGTAATCTCTATTGCACTGAGCACAATCTCATGGCAGTAAAGTGTTTGAATCCTGCTTGCTTTCTGTCTGAGCGCTGTACCTCTGACCAGGGAAAACATTTATTGTGTTAGTCTCACAGGGTCAGAGAATGGGTGGCCAATGAAATGAGGTAATGTAAGTCAGCAAAACAGCCTTATTTAGATTAGCTTCTTGTGTGCAAATAGTTTTTGAACTTATGGTGGTAGAAAAACAGAGAGATGGAGGAAACAAAGCTGCTAGAGAGAGAGAGGTCGGACATATCGTCCATTTACAGTACAGCTCTGAGAGAACCATCGCCTGAATATTAAACAGGCCCTGCTACCTGAGTTTCCATCAGTTTCTTTATACATTTTTCATCCAGCAACTTATTTTTTTTTCATCAACAACCAAACATTTTACTTGACAAAACACTTTGATGTAGATGCCGTTGAAAATCAAGCCATTTGCTTCTTGTCTAGTTGCTTTTGTTGTGGCTGCTGATGAATACTTTTCGACGCAATTTCCAAACCAACAAAACTGCCACTCTGTGCGGCAGACTTCCCACTGTTTCTATCTTCCCAATCTTGTTTAATATGTTTGTTTATCTGTCTGCCGTGCTATTGCCTTTTGTTAATCTTCCTCAACACTGGCAGGGAGTTGTGTCTTAATGTAGCGCCGTTTAAACATCCTCCTTGTTTTAGTGTATTGCAGACTGAAGGAGGACTGATTAGGGTCTCCCGAAGCTTTGTGACTGCTTTAACATCCCTGGTTATCGCATCAACCTTAATTACGGTCAGGAGCCCATTTCCTCTGATCTGAATCATTAGAATAATTCTGGTGAAGGGCTTGTGGCGCGGAGTTGTCTCATAGCTTTCGCTCGCACACTGCCTCCAGGGAATCTTCCATGGAGATAAGTTTGAAGTGCAGCTCCAGCAAGGGAGAGTCTGACTTGTCAACAGATGTGGTGCACAGTGTAGCAGGTTGCAGTCAAACCAAGGGGCATGGACACTGTCAGCGATGTTTTACTGTATAAGAGTACAGGGACTTGGCTGCAAATGTAGAAAGACAGAGTAAAGACAGTAGCACTTGTTCTATTCCTGAGCTATTCTGTTGTGCTGCATCTCATGGGAGTAAATACAGAAGTGAATGAGGGAAAAGACCCAAAGGAGCAAGATGGTGGGCGATGATGCTCAGAAGCTAGCCTAAGGGGGGCCAGGTTAGGACAGAGCAGCGCATTAGAAGATGAACTGTGCTGGTTACTATTTATGAATAGTTCATCCAGTGCCCTTTAAAAATACACACACCTCTAGGGGTAGGCAGCAGTCGAGTTGAAGTGTTGCTGTGCTGTCGTTTGACAGCAAAGCAGCATCCTGCGAGAGGGTAAACGGGATAAAAGGCACGATGATGGGCACTGCTGGCTACCTGAGGCACAGCCACTTCAATGCAGTACAAGTGTTTGAACAAAGCAAGCCCAATGTACCAGATAGGGAATTAAGAGGGTGTTCATGTGACTCGCAGTCTCTCTGAGCTACACTGATTATGACTCAAACAGCAGGAACAACGCGCAGCTGGTGTGAAGAGCTCCGCCACACGGATGTCAATTTCTGCCTGTCAAGAATTAATCTGCGCCCCAGTTTTCTGAATGTTAAAATGCCACCTACATAATCTAGTCAATGAGGGAATAAAGAAAAATTTAAAAGGTGTGAGATGTTGATTAATTGTCCGGTATGTAGGTGGCTGCACGAGCAGGGTGATAATTTAAACGTTTCCTTTGTGTGCAGACATGTTAGGCGCAGAGGGAGGAAGAGGGGAAAAAAAAAAGAGAGAGTCCGTACTTTGCCAGCTCCTGGTTATGTTTGTGAAATAAGATCCCTCCTCTCCCCAGCGTTTTACCTTTGTGATATAATCTTGTAGGCATCGGGGAGGTAGCAGTTGACGTTCTCCATCTGGAATGGGTCAGCGTCACAGATCTTGTCGTCGGTTCGGCCGTAGTTGGCCGTCTCGATCATAATGACATCACTCCCCGGGCAGCGGAGATCAATTGCATATCCTTCACATGAGAGCTCCCTCCTGACCAGCCCGAAAGGCAAGGCTGCACGGCTGAACCCTGACAGAGACACAGAGACAGGGACTTTAGTCAAATCATAAAACTAATGAGTTAAAAGGATCACTGCTTCAATACAATAAAGACCACACATCATGCAGTTAAAAATCCACTGGCACAAAATAAATAGGCAACAGCAGTCCAATGTTTACCACAGTTTTAAACAGACGGGCCATTACACGCGATACAGGAATGGAGAAAGACGAAACAATTCATCTCTCCATCTCTCTGTGGTCTTGGATGTTGGCTAAGACATCAAATCTAAGTCATCGGAGACCAATGGTAACCTCATAAATTCTTGAGCAAACACAAAGGCTACAGAGCATCAGGAAGGCCTCCACCTAGAGAACATCCACCACGGAGCCAAACCTATCTGGACCGAGAATAGTTTGTTTTACAGTCGTACAAGCCCCCTCATTTGTTTCTTTTGCTTTACTTGCTCACAAGACAGATAGAGAAAAAAGGCAGAATCCCGGCAGAATGGAGTGTAATACAATCCATTTTACAGTGTCGGCGATCGAAGAGTCTGGAGTCCACACAGGAGGAAAAATCCATACATGGAACACAGCAGATGGGAGCGCAGCCAAATAGCTCTACTTTGGGGGAAAATTAACTATTTCACTCTAATATGTCCCCCACTCCTTCAGCAAATTACAATGAAATAGGTTATTCCTTTGTATTTCCTTTCTCTAAGTAATGAAATGTCATGTCACAAATAGGGTGGAACAGATATGCAGATCTGCAAGGAGAGAGAGAAGCAATAAAAAAAAAAAGGAAGAAAGAAATCCATTATCCGGAGCTGAAATGATCCAAAGTTAAAAAAAAAATTGTCTGCAATTGTGAAAAAACAATTAGGTAAAATCTAAGTAGAACATGCAAATGTGTTCCATTTAAGAAGTGCAAGCAGAGCACTGCATGAACTGTCAATAATCGGCGTTGTTTGCAGCAATAGTGGGTCCCCGAGGGGGCAGCTACCATTTGTATTTTCTGCACTTCTCTCTCCTAATTAGCCCTCCTTTCAGCCTGTTGCCTTTTCCATGCTCCCATTGGCTCCCAAGCATTGTCATGTACTAACACTTACCACCCCGGGTTCATTTTGCCCCCTCACTCTAATTATCCTCACACTTCTGACAGTCAGGGCCTGACGCAATTAGCATTGTTTGAACTGCTCAAAGCTGAAGTGGTTCCGGCTTGAAATTCCTACCCTGAAACCCCCCGACCCACATGTCTGCTAGTCATTTCAGCCTGCTGCGCCTGGCTCACTTATAATGATATTCTATGTCAGTCTGCACATGTCACACTAGCAAACAGAAAAAACGGGGAGAAAACACAGACATCTGTGAAACATTGTTGAGAATATAATGTTGAAGTCATCCCATATTAGGAGAAACTTCTGCACGCAGTAGTAGTGGTAGCAGTATAACAAAATATGAAACTAATGGTATAAATTCTCTGGCATTAGGCCACTAGACATTTCATTATAGTGCCATGATCTGTCTAATGGCCAGTAGATTCTGCTTAGCTGGACTGTTTATCACCTCATTAGGAGACGTCAGTGTAGCCGAACCATAAGTGGAGGGCTGTGGGGTCACTCCATCTATTCCAATAACCACTACAATTACCCAAACCTTTCAGAAAACCTGTCCAGAATGGCGGATGATAAAACACAGAGTGAAGTCGCCGGCTTTACTGCGAAGACTAATGATCGTCCCGCCTGCCATTCCTCATGGAAGGAGTGACGGGTTTATCACGGCAGCCACAGACAGCAGACAGAAAGAATGCATTTCATGGGGTTTTAAAATTCTGAGCGGAGAGACCGTCTTTCGGCTAAAACACCCTCACGGACACACACATGCACACGCCATCTGCCTTCGTAACCTCCTTTTCACTGGCTGTCCACCGGCGACTGACCATCTATCAGACCACTATGGCATGATGGCATGCTGCTGTCAACACAAGCCTGGCGATTGATTGGGCCTGTGCCTCACCAGCCTCCTCCTCCCTGCCCGTATAGATCTCTCTGGTCATAGGCTAACACTGCATCAATTAGGGGGAGTATCTAGACTGTACTGGCGGCCTAAAGAACAAATTGCTTCATCTCCAAACTGCGGATAGTCTCAGTCTCATTAATGACTGTCTTGTCAACTTGTAATTGGGCAAGTAATGACAAATCTGTCTAAAAAGTTAAAATACATATAAAGGAGCTTTTTTGCTCTGTAGGAGGAGAGCTGAATTTAAGGGAATGTATTTTTGGTCCACTTAACTGGATGTTGCTTAAGATCTTCGGATTTAAGCACAGCTAAGAAATGAAAACCTTGTGACAACAAAGGTTTCTGGATGTAGGTATTCTTCCGTGTTGATTTTCTCGGTTTAAACAAGTTTTGCGAGATTTTGGAAAGAGAGGAGGATTGTTTGTGTGCACAAATGTCAATGTCTTAGGGAGGTATGAAAAGCTTTTCATCTCGCGTTCTGTGCTTTGTTTGACTGCTCGACTTTGCAGCAGTTGAAGACTGCGACAGAAGGGCACCAGCTGCAGGGAAAACGGTGTCAAGAAAACTGCAGGAAAAAATCCATAACACGATCCCTGCGTGTGTGTAAAAAAAAAGGGAAGGAAGAGAATGGCCTGCTCTCTCTGTGTCTGTACCTTAGATTAACATTAAATCACAAAAATCAGTGAGGGAATTGAATAATGCTTTATATCACCATTTAGTCCAATTGCCATGGTAACCACTCTGACTTAGCCATAATTGGCTGTGATCCCCATTCCTGGCCTTGTTGACACGAAGCCTTATCATGCATTCTGGTCAGTGAGTGACTGTGAGGAAAGTAGCTTTTCAGATTCCTCCCCCTGACCTGCCTGCTAAGCCGTCTATTGAGCTCAAGAGAGCAAAGCAAGAGCCCAGGACTGCTTCTCAATATGTTGCATTCTGGGAGTTTCTCTTCTTCTCCAGTTGAAAGCCTATAATTCACTGGCGACAACTCCCCCCTTTCTCATAATACATATTTTGTTTTCTATCAACACCCTTGAAATTGGAAGTGGTACTGTGGCTCAGACGGGTGCACCCAAAACCATCCACAGAGTTACACTGGGTGGCTTTTAAAAACCCCTGAGATGAAACGAAAACATAATGGAGGTTTTGGTGTTGAGATATTGCCATTTGGCAACTGCGAGACCGTAACACACATGTTGAGGTTCATCTTTGCTGCTGCGTGCGTTAGCAGTCGTGAACGACCTTTAACCCAACAAACTCCACTCCGTCAGGGCATCAGACAGTGGGAGAAAGAACTGGAGGAATGTTTGATCAGTCCTAAAGAAAGAAAAAAAAAACTGGGCCATTTTTTGGGAGGGTAGACAGAGTGGCGAGGGCTGGCACAGACAGAGAGCAAAGGCGTTGGTTGACGCTTGTCATCCTCCATTAAGGTTTCTTTGATTGGCCTTTGTGGTCCTGGAAACGGCAAACAGCTGCATGCAAATGGCCCTGTTTCCCCAAGGCTGGCCCCCATTGTTCTGGGCTTGGGTTTGACAGGGACGCTTTCTCTCCAGCATAAAGGAGGGTGTAGCCTTTAGTCAAATAAGAGTGCCCCCACCGTGGTCACAGCAGGAGTACTTCAAGATTGTTTGTCTTTTTATGTTGTTTTATTCCCGATATTACTGGTAGCCAACATCTTTGGAAGAAAGCGCAGATCTTAGAGTCAAGCTTTTCCTCCAACAGCGGGGGATGCCTCCGTAATCCAATATCCGGAGCGACAGAGTGGTCTTACAGCATGTTTTGCTCTAGTGGACATTTTCAATGGGAATTCATAAAGTAGGATTAAAAAAATGAAAAACATATTTGAATTTGTAATATACGGGAACAAAGCATCATCAATATTTTGCTTCTTTTTTCCAGCCCCTTTGTTCTTTATTGCAGTAATTCTAATCTGCTCAGAGGAAAGTTTTGACTTCTAGCCAAGGAACAAAATTAGCTTAACAAAAAAAATCAAGAGACCACTGTGGTAAACCTTTCATGTATTACATAAAACAACAGTACACTTCACTGTCCATTCACATGCCTCTCTACTAATTGAGCTTGCACTGTACAAAGACAACACTTCAAATTTCCATTCCCACATCCCCTAAATTTGTAAAGCATCCGGTGTTGCTGCCTAAAATTCACAAATGCAGGACATGACCGCCCATCAGAACTGAGAGGCACACAGGACCGAGGTGGGAGATGAGAAAGGAGATTTGGGATTCGCAAAACAACACCTGCTTTTCAAATACAGACAACACCCTGAGAACTCCTCACTCTGCCACAACGGCTCATATTTCATTTCAGCCGTCGAATTGCGGTGAAACACTGAAAATCTAGTTGGACATATGGCCCCATTTCCCATGACACTTTAGTCCCCGCTCTAGTCCACCTTGCTGGGAATTGTTTCCAAAGACGGTGTCAGACAAGACCACAAACCCCGGGGCTACACCCGCCTTTCCCAGACAACTGCTATCAGACACTCTTGATTCCGATATAAGTATTCTAAAATAGAAACTGGCAATATAGGAGTCACATAGATAGAGTCCATTTGTGGTTAGATGAAGCACTCTGAGTCATATCTCTTTTCTCCTTCTCGTGATACATGAATTCAGTGTAGCCACTTCAAATTCCAAAGCCATCATTTGTATTCATGGCCATGGCCTTTTGTCTAATTCCTCTCCTGAATGTTTCTTGACTTACCAAAAAAAAAAAAAAAAAAACAGTAGGTGGGAGGAGAGAATCACATGCTCCATGTTGACGCATGTCTCGTTGAAGGGGTTTAAGGGTGAGGATTTGTCATATTGCTGAGGCAAAGCGTGACAGACCCTGCTGCTGCCTCTTAACTCCTCAGGTGGCATGATTTAGAGAAAGCTTGAACCTTCACGGCAGACACAGGTGTGTAATGTTTTTTTCTTTTAGGTGAGCAGCAAGAATGTAAAGGGAAATCCAGTATTTTTCAACCTGGGTCTTACACTCATAAGTGTGGCC